CAATACGAGGTAACTTCTCATGCCGAAAAATCTTGAATTGAACATGTATACACATATGTTATTAAAACAACACTTTTTTTATATTTCTTCATTGAGAATTAAATTAATTTTAAAAAGTTGATTCAAGTGTAGATGAATTACAAATAATATTTTATTTAGATAATCAGTTATTTGAATTTTAATTTTTTGTAAATGAATATAAAAAATTAACAAACATTTAAAATACTATTTTATTATCATTCATTCTATTTTCTTTGTGAAACACAAAGTATAAATCAAACTAAGTTTTATAAGCATTTCTTGCATTTAATTATTCATTTTTCAATTGTTTATCTTTCTTTATTTGAATGTGCTTTCAATTTTTTAATGCAAATATTTATACATTTCAAAATTCAAAGTGTAAACTAGGTATGTATATATAATCAAAAAAAATTGTGTATCTTAATTAGGTACACCAAAGAAGCACCCTTTCCTTTTTTATTTGTTTTAAAACAATTTTTTCCTCTCTTCTTTACAAAAATGGATATGTGATCTAAATATTTCTCTTTCTAGAAATGGATGAGTAATGTAATCCGCCTTGTTTGGAACAAACATTTCCATGGAACGTAGCATTTTGTATTATTTTCTAGTAATATAAATTATCCTTAAAAATATTATTCACTTGGACTTAAAATTAGTCCTTCTCAATTATTATTCACACAATCAAACTTCATTTATTTTTTTTTCATTAGTCATTTGATAAAATAATATTACATCCATCCCATAAACTCCTTTTTTTCTTTATCCCACAAAGTCATTCTCCTTTCTATTAAAAACAACTTTTACCTTATTACTTCTTACCCAACTTATCATATCATATTTTTTTACTAATAATATACTCATCACATCATACTTTTAGTCATCACATCAGGAGTATTTTTGGAAAGTCAACACAAAAGTATCACTCCCTTAATTCTCTTAAAAGTCAAAGAGGAAAGAACTTTAAGGGACGGGGGAAGTATAATTATGTCCCATCTTAATTTTTTGAATTTTTAATATACTTTTTAAGTATATAAATTTTATTTTTAAATTTTATACCTATAACTAAATAAACTAAATTAAAAATAAAGTTAATCGAATACCATGAACCAAAAAATCAATTTTAAAACAGTGGGAGTAAAACTTAACGTTGTCCTTTGATAACATTTAGGTTTTAGGATCTATTAATTTGGGTTGAAAAAATTAACTTTCAACTTTTTTTAAATTCTTCCAATTTCTTCCAACTTCTTTCACTTTTTTCCAACGACTAAAAATGTATCTCCATATGATACTCCATATAATAAATATACACTAACATCATATATCCAAACTTATAACATACCACCTTCAACACAGAATAGGATGAGTTCTTTTTATCCAAAATTAATTTTCTTACATATTTATTTGGATAATCATTTAATTGAGTAAATTTTTTGATACTTTATTTTTTCTAACATTTTCCAAGTCCTTCCAAATGTTTTAACATATTCTAGTTTCTTCCAACATCCAACTCTGTTTTTTACTACTCATTGGAACAAAGCCTTGAAGTCAAACCGGAAAGTTGTTTCGAGTAGGTTTGGGTACGATAAAGATATGGTTCAGATACCCATGTTAGAGGAACTAGAACCGGTATCGTGTAGATGCAGTTCTGGTTCTGATCGCAGTTCCAATTCTGTACTGTTTCTGAATAATTTTGTTATATATAAAACGTTTTTGGTAAAAAAGTTATATAGTTAACTCCAAACTCCTTTTTTATAATAAATATGGCAAATCAAACTCAAACGAATTAAAAATAAGCATAAAAATATAAAACACCAAATAGTTGAACGGGAACCGTGTCCATCCTCAAACTTTGGTAGCATTCCGTTAAACTTATTTTTTCTGTTTATTACTAATTCTAATTAAAATCAAATCAAATTAGATCAGATCAGACCAGATCAGATTAGACCAAATCTAAAAAAAATTAATATTATTTTTACTATTACCATTATTATTAATATTAATATTCCTATTACTATTAATATTAATAATAATATTATTATTACTATTACTATTATTATCACATTTATTATTACTATTTTTATTATTACTAATACTATTTTTTTTATTATTACTATTATTACTATTACTACCATTATTATTGCTATTATTACTACTACTATTATTATTATTACTATTATTATTATTGTTGTTGTTGTTGTTGTTGTTGTTATTTTAATTATTACTATTATTATTACCACCACTGATATTATAATTATTACTATTATTATTACTAGTATTTTGACCCGTGCCATGCACAGGATGGAACAATTTTTTTGTTTTTTGTTATTTTTCAGCGTGACAAAATTTTTCAAATATCAAACAGTATAAAACATATAGAAGTCGCTAATGAAAATTCTACTATATACAATTAAAAATTAACATTTCAAAGTCTTATTTAAATTAGAATATTTTGAAAAATGTTGAAGTATACAATATTTTTTGTGAAGTTATAAAGATTATCAAAGACATGTAAAACTAATAATTTCAACTTTATTTTTAGTCTCACTTGTGAAATACTCCCTCCGTCCACAAATAAATTTCTCGTTGCGCGTTGCGATGTTTGACTGAAGTTATTTTCAAATCATTTCATATGAAAAATGGTATAAAATTTAAAAACAAAAATTACATATTAAAAAATTATATCAAAAGATCTACAAAACTAAAGGTGACATGACTATATTATTTTATCAAATGGGTGACGAAAATAGGTCAACAAAGTGAATGAAGTTTTACCCTATGAATAGTGAACGAGAAGTTTATTTGTGGATGGAGGGAGTAATAATATAAATTTAACAATAAGTGAATACCAATTTGGTAAAAATAATACTACCTCCGTCCCAAAAAGATTTACACATTTTGACTAAAGTTGAATTTAAATGAGAGATAATTTTGTGTTGACTTTCCAAAAATACCCATGATTTGATAGGTAAAAGTAGGATGTGATGTGTAGATTATTAATAAAAAGGTATGATGTGATATGTAGGGTTTGAAAAAGTAATGGGTAAAAGTGGTTTTTAATAGAAATGGGTAGAAGATTATGGGACGCAATTTTTTGAAAAGTGTAAATCTTTTTGGAACGGAGGGAGTATTATTAATGCCAATGTTTGACATCAACTTTTTTTATAATCAAAAGTCATAATGAAACATAAGCTATTGAAAATTATATTCCTTGAAACTTCAAGAGTAATCTTGTATGAAATGATATACGAAATATAATTCATTTATGTTGTCCATGTAATTAAACCTTCTCTAAAGCTTTATTTTCTAATACTACAATTGCGCTGAAGATAATTTTTCACAACTTTCAGTGCTTAACCTTATACTACTATACAATTTAGAGAGAAGGTACATGGTACAACCAGTTGTGCAACTATAAGTAAGGTATATTCGAGTAGCATTAATTCTAAAGTAAAGTAATACTCGTTCTCACACAAATATAAATGTTCATTTTGAAATAACATAGTACTCATTCTGAAACAACATAATACTCATTTTCACACATTTATACAATACAATTATAATAATCATTTACGAATAACTTAGTGTTCATTCTGAAACAAAGTGAAATATAATCTTATAGTCTAATTAAACTTACATTATCAAAATTTCTCAAGTAACATACTGTTCATTTCTCAAGTAACATACTGCTCATTCTCAAGTAACATACTGTTCATTCTCTTCAAATTTAGAAATATAATCTTTTTTTGAACAAAATCACCTTCTTCATTCATCACCACCAACAAGTTTACAATCAAACATATCTACTTCTAATAACAGAAACGAAATTAAATATCACATATACTCAACATTTCCCCCTTCCTCTCTTTGTCCAGTAAGTTGATGTTGTGTACTTCACCCTTTCCAGTAACTCCTCCATCTTTGGCGTTCTTTTTGAGTGGAGTAACTTGTTCCTAGCTCGCCAAATAGCGTAACATGCTGCTGCATAGGCACTTGTTAGTTGTTTTCTTCTAATCCCCTTTGTTTTCATTATGGACTGCCTTATCTCTTGAACTCCATCACCCTCAATTCTATAGCACATCCAGTTCGATACTCTATCTAGTAGATCAGTAGTCCAAACACAGCTACTCAATAGATGATCTTGGTCTTCTGCCGCTGTGCCACAGAGTTCACAATTGGTGTCAATGTTCATAAATTTGGCTAGTCTTACCTTGGTGCTTACTCTTCCTCTACTAATCAACCATTGCAGGAATTGGTGTTTGGGTACAGTAAGATTGCTCCAAACAAATGGGAACCAACTAGGTTTTTTTTTGCCCCAGCAGCCAAGCGTAACCCAACTCAGTAGTGTATCCTTTTGTCATATCCAGATCTTTAACCCATTTCCTATTGTGTATAATCTTTTTCCAATAAAAACAACAATCTCCTTTCAATATATAGTTAGTTACCTCCCCTTTGATATACCTTCCATGTACCCATTTCACCCACAGGTTATTTTTGTCTTTATCGATATCCCACCAATAGTTGTAGACACAAGCCCTATTCCAATACACCATGTTCCTTAGGCCTAATCCCCCAACAGATTTAGGCATGCACACTTCCTCCCAGCTGACCAGTGGTCTCTTCACATAACTAGCAGTGGCTCCCCACATGAAGTTTTTACATACATTCTGTACCATCCTCATGACTTTTGTTGGGATAATAAACAACTTGCACCAAAACGTCATAATGCCAGACAGTATGCTACCAATCACCCTACACCTGCCTGCATAAGACATGTGTTTTGATGCCCAAGCTGTGATTTTGTCAGTTATGTTTGCCACCAATCTTTCACACTCTTTGCCACTGATTTTAGCAGCAGATATTGGGCTCCCCAAATACTTGAGGGGCAGGACTCCCAGCTGTAGGTTTGTTATCTTCAATAGTTTTTCTTGTGTCTTCTTGTCAACTCCGCCAAAAACTATTTGAGATTTCCCATTGTTAATACTTAGTCCTGTTGTTTCTTGAAAGATTCGCAACACCTCCATAATACATTGTAGGGACTTCTCTTCAGCCTTGCACACAATGATAAGGTCATCTGCAAAACATAAGTTGATTATATTAAACTACTTGCACATCAGGTGATATTTAAATTCACTTTCCTTGGCCATGTGTTGCAGTAACCGGCTCAGATATTCCATCATTCCCTTGGAAGAATCCATGAACTCCCCCATTCAATTGTATAGTGAAGGAAGGTGTTGTAATGCATTGCTCCACCCAGGTCACAAACTGGTGAGGAAAACCAAAGAATCCCGTGATTTGGAGCATAGCCTTCCAACTGACTGAGTCATATGCTTTCATAATATCCAACTTGATTAAGCATCTAGGTGAAATCCCTTTCCTATTGTACCCTCTTGTCATTTCATGGCATAGTAAGACATTATGGGCCAAATCTCTCCCTTTAACAAATGCCCCTTGATTCTGACCAACTATATTTGGCAATACCTCCTTTAGCCTGCTACTCAAGATCTTGAATATTATTTTGTATATCACATTGCAGCAGGCTATAAGTCTATAGTCACTAGCTACTGCAGGTGCTTCAACTTTGGGGATCAATGTCAGACCAGTAGTATTGATTTGCTTTAGTAATTTGCCATTAGAGAAGAATTCCAGTACTGCCTGTGTGACTAATTCCCCCACTGTCCTCCATTGGTTTTTAAAAAAACCACTACTGTATCCATCGGGCCCCGGGCTTTTGCTATTAGGAATTGCAAATAGGCACTTCTTTACTTCCCCTTCAGTGACTTCTTTCAATAGAGAGAGTTGTTGTATGATATCCAGTTTGGCACCACATTCCATGGCAGCTTTACTAATATTACTTGTGTCCATTTCTGTAACAAGTAGTGTTTCATAAAATTCCAGTATGGTAGCTGCAACCTTTTCCTCTCTTTCAACCTGCTGACCTTCTTTGTTTTTAATACTTAGGACCTGGTTTTGTAGTCTTCATCTTCTCATCCATGAGAAGAATAGTTTTGAGTTTATATCACCTTCAGTAATCCAGTCATTCTTATACATTTGACTCATTAACATGAGGGAGGCCTTTCTAGCAACTCGCATTCTTAGAATCAGATTGCTTTCTTCCTGGATTAATCTTTCATCCATGGGATCTTTTTTTAGTGCAGCTTGGGTACAATGTAACTTGTCTCTTATGGCATCTATGTCCTGTGCATCCCTCCCAAATTTATTTATGTGTAATACCTTTAACTGTCCCTTCAGCTCTTTCAGTTTGCAGCAGGCTTTAAACATAGGTCTTCCTGCTATATCTTTATCCCATACCCTCTTGACAATCTCTGAAAATGCTGGGTCCAAGGCCCACATGTCACAGTACCTGAAGCTTTTATTGTTTCTGCTGTATCCTTGAACAACTAATAATGAAGAATGATCTGATATGCCCTCCTCCTTTACAATCAACTTAGTGTAATGCTTATTCATCCAATCTATATTGCAAAGCGCTCTGTCAATTCTAGAGTAAATCCTACTACCCTGTCCCTGCCTATTCGACCAGGTATAATAAGCTCCCTCCATGGGCATTTCCCCTAATCCACACCAATCCATACGTTCTTGGAAATCCCTTATCTCTTCCTGTCCTACTAGATTCCCCCTATTCTGTCATTTATCCCCAGAACACAATTAAAGTCTTCCATAATCACCCAGGCCCCCTTAATAGCACCATGTAGTTGTTTTAGATCCGACCACAGAGCATTCCTTTTCCCAGGATCATTATGGGCATAGACAAATGTTATTGCATCTTGAGAGTCCTCCCCTATCCTTCTTATATCACAATGTATAAGTTGGTCAGTGCTTTTCACTTTTGTAGGGCTGAACTTACATGGATTCCAAGTAACCCATATCCTCCCGAAATGATGTTACTGATGATTAGTAATTGTTCTCCACTCCCTACTTAATTTATTAGCAATTGCTTGGAAGTTTTCCTGCCTTATTTTGGTCTCCAGAATGGCCATCACACCCACCTTATTTTTATTCACAAAATTCCTTATTTCTGCTTGTTTATTAGGGCTATTCATGCCCCTAATATTCCATGCTCCTATCATGAAAGGAAAGGATAGTGTCCCCTATAGGGGTCTTCATGTAATACTCTGTTGATGCCATTCACAAACTGTTCCTCATACTGAATTATTCTCTTTGCACTTTTCTTTTTATCAACCATTTGGAAATCCTCACCTTCCTCTTCTCTTTTATCCTCTGCTGGGTGTGAGGTCATCTCGTCCTCCCCCCTCTTTATGTTCTTTGTCTTGAATCATAGGTTTTGGTCTCCATACCATGTTCATTTTGCCCTGTGCATGTTCAGTCTCTTTTGTTCTACATATTGCTTCAGAATGACCCAACTTCTTGCAATTCTCACAGGTGATAGGACACCATTCATAATCAATCTTCTGTGATACCACTCTTCCTTCCACATCAATGAATTTAATGTTGTCTGGAAATTGTTGTTTAATGCTCACTTCAAGTTGGATTCTGGCATAACTCATTTTAGACATCGTTGCAGTTGCCTTGTCCCTCTTGACTGGTTTTCCAATTGTACTTCCTATTTTACTCAATCATGACAGACTCCAGTATTTAGGATCTAAATCTAGTAGCCTAATCCAGATCGGGATATCTGTTAGCTCTTCCAATTTCACTTTCTAACCTGGCTTCCATCTTTGGACTAGCATTGGCTTATTGTCCATGAAGTAATACTTCTTTTTCAACACTTCATCCCTTTCTGCTTCTTTCCCAAACTGCACAACGAACTGTCCTTCCCTTAACAATGAGATTTCCTCAATTTTATACTCCTTCCAGATTCTTCTTAAGAAACCATCCATAACTTTGAGTGGTTGATTAGCCCATAGAACACAACAGATGAGTGAGGCTTCCCAGTAATTTGCTATGTCCATAAGATCTTCTTCTACCATTCTTGCCATTTGTATCCCATCAATTTCTTCTGTTTGTACATACTTTAGCTCAAACTTATTGTCTTCCTTGAGCCCTACTACCTCAGCAAATGTTCGTCTAGGAGCTTCATGATCAGCCCCATTATCTNGATCTAGGGTTTGATTTAACACCATTGACGGCCCAAGTAAGAGATTACCTGCCGAAGATTCTCCCGTAGTTGGGGTTGTGACCTGCGTATTTTGCTGTGGAGTGGTTTGCTCCTTCGCCGATGCCTTGGCCTTCTTCTTCCTTGGTCGCCCCCTTTTCCTCGCAGACATCTTTCAGAGAAGGTCGCCTCAGAAATATAATCTTATAGTCTAATTAAACTTACATTACTCAAAATTTCTCCAATCAGCATAGTCATCGTCATCTTCATCGTCATCATCATCTTCATCGACATCTTGATCGCTGTCGTCATCAACGATAGTTGGACTTAGGATTTATTAGTTCCTTCCATATGAATATCACTTGAATCGTCTCTCCTGTCCGCACCTAGGGTTGCCGCTCTTCCGCGGAGACTTGCGACAATCTAGATCTTCCATCTTGTCGCACCTAGGGTCCTTGCGGGAATCCAAATCTTTTGCACGATTGCTCTGTTCTGTTGATTCTTTTTAAGGCTGGTTGTATCCAAAATTAGGTACAATAGATTATAGAATATAAATTGTGTAATTCAGTTCATTGATCGATGTTCCTGGATAACATAATGGGTATAACATTCTTCAAATTAAAATTATTTTTGTGGTTTTAGATTTACAAACATTTGTTCTCATTTATAAACTGATCAGTTATTATACAATCGTCATTGATTGGCAAACATTTATTCTTATTTATTCATTGATATTTTTATTTTAAATAAATTAAAGAAAAATAAAATTAAAAAAATATTGTATTTTGTAATAAAAGAGATGATATCTATTCCATAGTTAAATTTACTCAATAGTATTGAAATCATAAAGAATGTTAGTGTAAATACAATATGTCATGGTGACACATTTTTTGGATCAATTATATTACATAATGTAATTACATATATCATATCATAATAGGCAATTGTATTGTATATTGTAATTAAAAATATATGAAGCTTCAGTCTTATCCTCCCTAGATGTGTATTTTTTTTCTAAAAAAAAATTAGGTAAGTGTTTCCCGGGTTTACCACACCGGTTTTGGTGGACTCATCCGGGTTAGAAAATGTAATTAAAAATATCATATCATAATAGATTATTAAAAATAATATATTTAAAGACTATTTTCACTTAAGCTTGTCATAAACAAATGAATTTTAGAAATCATCCTAAATAGGACTAAAACATAGAGAAAATTACCAAAATAGGACTTTCATGTTTTTTTTCCGGAATAGGACTTTGCATTGTGGTAATGTGTCAGTGTACATGTGCAAATTACTGTACTTTCTTGGTAATGTATATGACCATGTTTGGTAATGTAAGTCCTATTTCGGGAATAAAAACATGAAAGTCCTATTTTGATATATTTTCAATGTTTTAGTCCTACTTTAGTCTTTCTTCCAATGAATTTTGAAGGTTAAGAAAGAATCTTTTTCTAACGAAGGAAATCTTTTTTGTTCTTTAATAGTTTTATTATAAATGAAGTGAAAGAATTATAAAATTAGAAAAGTCCTTGTATATTTTATAAAAGCGATGATCTCTATAATGTATTCCATAATTAAATTTACTTAATAATGTTAAAATAATAAAAAAATTAGAGTAAATATAGTATATTATGTCATGTTGACACGTACATTTTTTTCAATGAATTGTATTCTATAATATAATTTCAAGTATTATATCATAATAGATAATTAAAAATAATGTATCTTTAAATTTAAATAATAAATTATCTAAGAACAATAAATCATAAATTGTGTAGCTAGTAATAAAATCAAATCATAAAATCAATTTATTCAAACTATGAAATTATGTATAGTATTTTTTTTCTGTTTTAAAAGTGACTATAGTCTAGTTACCTCTTGTTTTATAAATATTTTAATTTAGTTTTTAACATATATACTTTTTAGTTTTTCATCAATATTGTGATTAATGCAATCAAAACTAACTTCATTATAAAATATCATAAAAAATACTCGTATGACATTAATTTAAAAGTAAAATAGAATCTAACTCTTTAATTGAAAGTTTTAGTATAAATGAACATAATAAAAAGCATTGAATTAGGAAATAATTTTTCCATAAAAATGAATATTCCTCTTCCGTAATTAATTTTTTTCAAATATTTTATATTAAAACATTGATTTTACGTTTTATATGTCCTAAATTAGGTGGCATATTATGTGTCAAAAAAATATGAAATTTCTTTCTAGGTGAGGAAAATATTTTATTTATTAGGTGTGAATATTTAAATTAATATAATTAATCTGGCTTTGTTTAAACATATCACAAGAAATTATGAATGAAAAATTAATTTATCGGTGAATATAATCTTTATTTATTATTTAAAAGCCTTTTCAATTTAAAAAAAGTATAGTAAAGTTATATCCTTTTTTAATAGTTTCTTAATGTATTTTTTAAAATATATTTTTTGGTTTTAATTTTACATCAATATTAAATTAAAAAGAACCAAATCTAAACATGCCATAAAAAAATACGTGGGTTAAAATTATTTAGATGTCAAAAAACATACGGAGTATTATTTATTAATTAAAAATTTTAGTAAAAATCAAGAGACAAAAAAATACTATATTGAATTGGAAAAAGAATATTACCATAAGATTATATGTTTCTCTTCCATAATTTAATTTACTCAAAGATTTCATATCAAAATATTGAATTCACATTATCTATATACTTAATTAGGTGGCATATTAAGTATAAAACAAATATAAAATTTATTTTTATGTGAAAAATATTTGATTTATTAGTTGTCAAATTTTTAATAAATATAATCAAATTAATGTCATGTAAACTTATGAACAAATATAAATAGTACTCTAATAAAAGGTTTATATATATATATATATATATATATATATATATATATATATATATATATATATATATATATATATATATATATATATATATATATATATATATATATATGGGCTGGTTCCTGTGAGAATGTACCTTGTGGAGAGAAATGAGAATAAAATCTAGCCGTTGGATCTGATGCATCGTGCGGCTCAGATTGCATCCTGCACTCAGATTTTGAGATAGTGCATTTTCAAAGGATTTTGTTGCATTTCGACGTGATGCATTTTTAAACCATTTTGGTGCATCTGATTTTGATGCAATCCAGACCCAGATCTCACAATTTAAAGCACTAGATTCATTCTCATTTCTCTCCTAAGATCGCATTCTCACCAGACAATATATATATATAGTTGTCTCTTAAATATATGTATTATTAAATATATACTTAGTGATCTAAGTATCATTTTTATATATAAATAATTAATGATTATGTATTAAATACTATTTATATTTTAAATCTATATTTTTTGTTTAAGTATATATAATAATAAGTAACTTCTTTATATCAAATACTCTCTATAAATTTCAAAAATATGAAAATTTCTAGAGGCTGAGAGAATATTTTGTTTATAAAAGAAAAGGTTTTTGATATATAAAGAGAAATCTTTATTAATTTTAAGTTTAGTAGTTGATATATTTTTAAACAATTATTATATTTATTTTGTATTAAATACGTTTATAATTATAAGTAGATCAAATTGTTTTCAATAATTGCTAAGAAATTTCATCTTGTTTTATTTTTTTACTTTTTTATTAACTTTTCTATAAAAACTATTTTCTTTCCTTTCTATCCTATTCACTGATTGTTTAAATAAATGCCCGAAATTCTATTTTTTTTAGATTTGTTTTGCTTTTAATTCTATTGGCTAATTTTTTAAATATATTTTTGTTGATCATTTGACAAATAATATAATTTTTTAGATCTTCTCATGAATTGTATGATTAATAATTGACATGATTACAACATTTTATTTTTAAAAAAATATTCATATGCCTAAATGTTTGTTCAAAAATTTTATAATTTATTAAATCTGCGCCAGGTATTAAAAAATGTTCACGTATACTTATGATAAAATAAAATTTTGTTAAAATTGACAAATTCTATTAATTCTAAATCTCGATTCATAAATTCTGAATAATTAATTATAATTTTTTAAAAACATAGTAAAAAAATGAAATAATTTTTATTATTGTTATTTCTATTATTATTATTATAGTTATTATTGTTATTACTATTATTATTATTACTACTATTAATATTATAATAATTTTTATTATTACTAATATTATTAATATTTCTATTATTATTATAACCATTATTATAACTATTATAATAAAAATTTTAATATTAATCAAGTTGATATTAGATAGATCAAATTCAATCAAATCATACTAGATCAAATCAGACAAATTGAAATCAAAATTTCAAGAAATTAGATCAGATTAATGAACAGAACGCAACTCGTCACCAACCCCCTGTGTGACGCTCCAGACCATTTATTTTTTATATTCCACCATCTAATTTCTATAAACAGCGAAACACTCTCAGGCAGCTCACCCGTCTCTACTCGTTTGCACACTCAATCACTCACCTACTCAGAAGAAGAAAACCTCCAGAAAGTCAACTCAAATGGTGAAGGTCAACTCTATCCGCTCCCAATTCTCCGTCGCCGTCTTCTTCATCTCCATCGCCGTCTCTGCCATTTCCGGATCCGTAAGTTCCCAATCCATCATCTTTTCGATCGTCGAGCAATAATCGATCCGCGTTTAATCGTTCTGCTTTTTTTTCCCCCCTTTTATTTCGGGTCAATCAAGGATCCGGATTGTGTGTATACAGTTTATGTGAGAACCGGGTCAATCCTGAAAGCCGGAACGGATTCGAACATCACGTTGACTCTCTACGACGCCGGCGGCTATGGGATCAGGATCAACAACCTCGAGGCCTGGGGCGGGCTTATGGGCCCGGATTACGACTACTTCGAGAGGGGGAATCTGGACATCTTCAGCGGGCGCGGCCCGTGTCTGACTGGGCCGGTCTGCCTCATGAACCTCACCTCCGACGGGACCGGCCCGCACCACGGCTGGTACTGTAACTACGTCGAGGTCACCGTCACCGGAATCCACCAGAACTGTAGCAAGCAGACGTTTACGGTGAACCAGTGGCTGGCCACCGATACTTCGCCGTACGAGCTCACCGCCGTCAGGAACAACTGTGGTGACGGAATCTCCGAGCCGCGTCTCGCCGACGGCTCCGAAACTGCCGGGATTGTTGCTGTCATGTGAGAGAGAGCCGGAGGAGAGGTGTTGGTGGGGTGGGCGTATTAGGAATTTTGAAATACTCCGTACGTATATTTTACCGACTATGTTTGTCAATAATGTCACATGGGTTTGTGCGGTTCCGCAATAATGTTGATTTATTAGGGTCGTTGGACCACGGCCCAATCTCTCTTTAGTTTCTTATTTTCTTGTATGAATAAAAAATACGGAGCAACTGAGTTTTATTATACTCCATGTGTCCTGAATTGATTTTTGAGAAATTTACTCAAATAGCACAAAAACATAATGACTTTCCCTAAATAGCACTACATGTGTTTTTCTTCCCAATATAGCACTTTTAGTCATTATGCATTAGTCATTATTCAAGTAAATATTCGTCATCACTGGTCATTATAGACATTATTAAGTGCTACTTAGAAAATAAAACAATTTAAGTGCTATTTAGGAAAATGATTTAAGTTTTAGTGCTATTTAGTGCAAATATTTCTTGATGTTTTTACTTTTAAAATAATGGTTTCACTTCTTTAGGCCACTGGGTATACCGCTCACGCCCAACGGCGTGAAGGCGGTTTTCACACCCCGATAGCGTTAAACATCGTCCTCCGGCGGCGTTACCAAGACGTGAAGCAGGCCGCGTCATTCCTTTGACCCTGGTGCTTCCCCTCCCCCTCCCCTAATGGCTCTAATAGCCGTTGAAGACAAAAAAAAAGAAAATTAATTTTTTTTATCATAAATTTCAAACCCCCCCTCTCATTCTTTCACACCTTCAATCTTCTTTAATCTTCTTCACACATTCTTCAATTTCAAACTCTCCCCTCTCTTTTGAACATGAATTCTTCCGGCTCCGTCTTCTTTTTCGACAATCTCGCGCCAAGCGATGTCGCGATGTTGTATTTCCAAAAAAACACCGAGTAAAAGTATATGCTCCATAATTTTTCTCATTCGAAAATAAAATTCAATCACTTATATTTTAGTTTTTTAACATTCTTCTTAAATTCCTAAAGTCAAACGACGACGATTAGTTCGGTTAGAGAAAGTATGTATCTCAAGTTTGATCTCATTTTCGACATGACCCTTTTAGCATCTAAAGTGGTATCATCCTTAAAAGATGTTCAAGCGGGAATTTCACTTAAAATATTTTACATGTCCCTCTCTTGGCATCCACATGCTCAAACCGTGGCATAGCTCTCGAATTCACAACAACAATCTAATTCAATCTCACAAGAGTAAGGTTTGAGAATGTCTTGGATGTCATTATTTATTTTTATTTACTTTGTTCAAAGTAGATTCTACATCCTTTCAGACATAATTGTTTATATAAAAGAAAAAATTAGTTGAACACATGCATTGCTTATGGATGGGAAAGAATGCCGATCTTGTGGTCTCATTTCAAAATATTCCGGTCTCGTTCTATAAAATAAAAACAAAGAAAGTGGTCAGGCTTAGATTTATTGCACCAATAATCTCGTGGTTTGATAAAGGTGCACCATTACTCTTCATTCTTTCAAAACTTGGGTTGTTACCCTCCATTTATAATATTCCTAAGGTGATGCCTCCATCGACTAAAATATCTTTCAAATATTAAATTAATACTCTCTCTGTCCGGAAATGTTTTTCTCACTTTCCTTTTTTGCCCCACCAAAAATATTCTTCCCATTTTTTAGTTTATTTAATGAGGATAAATTTTAATAATACTCTTCTATTTTATCACTAATCTATTTTTTATTGCTTTTTAATAAGAAAATGATATTTAAAAGTTTATACTACATGCATTTTTGAAAATTTGACTCTTTTTACTACTTCTTAATAAGCGTGTCAACTCACTTTTTTTGAAAATTTGACACTTTTGAAAATAGGCACAAAAACCCCTCTTCTTTTTCTTTATTACTTTCCATTTTTATTTTCTTTTTTTCATAAAGAGATTAAAAGTGTTTGTGTTTGAAATAATGAAAATTTGTTTTCAAAAATATTTCTTTAAAGTGTTTTAAAAATGAAATTTACTTTTGTTTGAAATAAAAAATGAAATAAAAAAAAATAAAATATACGGAGTACTTCATTTGTTTCAAATCAAATAATTTCATTTTTTACTAAAACAATTCTTATTTTTTGTATCTCTTGAGACTAAAAGAGTACAGAGTAAGGTCTCTTTAATACTCCCTCCGTTCTTAAAAAGAGTTCCTACTTTGAAAAAGTGGAAAAATAAGGATGTGTTAAATTGTAGTTGACTTCCAATTTTGCCCTTGATGTGTTGGGTAAAAGTAAGATGTGATGAGTAGATTATTAGAGAAAAAGTATGATGTGATAGGTAGGGTATGAAAAAGTAAGGGTAAAAGTGGTTTTTTAATAGAAAGTGAAAGTGTTTTATTGGAAGTGAAAAAAAATGAAAGAGGAAGTGTTTTTGAGAACGGAGTGAGTATTTAGTTCAAGTTATACTCATAACAACTTTTTGGATCGATGCACAACAGATTCCCTTCATGACTTAATTTTCCATATACAGTGCTATATTACCACGATGCAAACTCTTATTTTTGAGAAAAAAATGGAATTTCTATTTTATTACTTTTTATATATTTTATTTCTTTTTAGGCTGATTTCTTCAGATTTTTATTAGAAAATCAAAGATGGCCTAAGTAATTGTTTTAAAATTCTAATTTAAAAAAGTGAAATTTGTACTAAATAGGATAAAAACATAATGACTTTCCTAATCTAGGACTTAAACTTTTTTATTCTCTAAATAGGACTTAATAATATCTTAGTTGGAGGAATAATGCCGTGTAGTTCAAATTAAAATGCGCAATAGATATGGTAAAATAAGGTGAAAGGAGAACTTTCAAAAATTTCTTTGCCAGATAATTAGACATAACAAAGGGTGAAAAGAACTGTTGTTTACGGCGGCGCCGGCATCAACCAGCGTTTCATCTCAACCCAGCACGGCGGAGAAGATAGAGATCACCATTGAAACCCTAAAATGGCTTCGAAGAATGATATGAAATTATCTATATTCACAACAATCCACATTTTCGCCACACTTTTCTCTGTAACGTTCACCGAAACCCTTTCGTCTCCCCAACTCCAATCGACGAACAATCGCCTCTCGGCGTCCCCGACGATCTACGATCTCCTGAAGGCCCACGCTCTTCCCCCCGGCATATTTCCGAAGGGAATTTCGGAGTTCTCGCTTGATCCGACCTCCGGACGGTTCGAGCTCCGCCGATCTCGCTCGTGCGCCGCCCAATTCGAGACGGATGTGTGGTTCGATGTGACCGTCACCGGAACCCTAAGCTACGGCCAAATTTCGAACCTCTCCGGCATGGCGGCTCAGGAGCTATTCCTCTGGTTTCCTGTCAACGAGATAAGGGTGGATATCCCCAGCTCTGGCTTGATTTACTTCGACGTCGGCGTCGTTTCAAAGCAATTCTCCTTGTCCTTTTTCGAAATTCCTCAGGATTGTACGGTTGATGATACTGAGAAGCTGTCATCTTCCTCCCTTCGGTCATTGCCATGGCCGCCCCGGGGAAACATCATATCCATCAATGATCGTGGCCGGATAATTGAGGTCTTATTCCATCTTTAAAGCTATAATTACTTTTCCAGTTTACCATTATCATACACTCGAATTTAGTTGTCCATTTTTTTAATTAGCTCCAATTTAAGGAATGAGTCCAAGACCCGGTTTGACAGTAGCGTTATACATTAGTGTTTTGAAAACAATTATCTGACCGTACTTTTTAGTGTTATCCAACCTTAGCTCTGATGCCTTGTGAAACAATACATTTGGATCCAATTCAACCCTAAAAGCTAACACGGTAATATTATTGTACACGGCCGATGTGGGATAAGTATAGCTCAACAGTACTATTTGTGGTTGCTTGTTTCCAAGAAATTGAAGAATTTCTTTGTTTGGGAAGGATATATCATATATATATAGATAGAGTTAGAATTTTAGTGCCATAATTTTGTTGCAGAACCAATCAAGAAAGCTAGTGAAACAAAGCTTTCAATGGCAAGTTGCGGGGCGAGCGGTGTCTTAAAGCGGATAGAGGGGCGAAAATGTCCAAAGTGAAACGGGCTTAAGGATGTGGATGAAGAGCCAACCTGATATGGGTGAGTTTGGCAAGTTTGTTTGGAAGGGGGGAAGGAACAGCTCAAAAATGATGAGGAAGGAATAACATGGCTATTCCTTGGTGATATATAATGCATATGGTGAGTGAATGTAAATACCTCTCCTCCTATATGTTTGTATGTATGTATGTAAAAGTGTGTGTATGTATATATATGTAGTGTCTATGCACCTCATATGGTGCATTAAGCTTGCTTGTGTCTAAAATAAACCAAATTATTAGTATTTGTATACCAAACTTAACACCATCTTCTCAGACACGATGTTCTGTAATTTTTGTTACCACTGTATGTGTTTTTTGAAAGAGTTCATCATTGCCACCAAATCTTAATGACGTTTTTATACCTATTTTCGTTAGTTATTTATTAAAATAACATAGCCATGTTATTTATTTTTTGTAGAACATTTGATGTGGTTTCTTAATATATAATTTTAATTTTTTAATTTTATACATATAATCAAATTAGTTGATAACGCGTTAGGTGTATATTGTATTAAAAAGTTGTATACATTGAAATGTTGAGAGTATGAAGGAAAGAAGCTGGGGAAAATTGCATCTGCATCATGTTCAGTATTCTATATTGTCCCAAACTGTTTTCTCATTACAGGTACAGAGTATTTAATTATATTCCACCCAAGCACATTTTTTTATACACTTCACATTTCTCACACATTTTTTCTACACATTTTTCAATATAAAAACATGAATTTCGAAATTTTTGGATAATTTTGGATGCGGTTCAAACATCGGTCAAATCAAAATTTATTTCAACCATATTAGAAATCATTCAGATGAAAACAAGTCTTTAATCAACCACCAAGGAAGAAAATGACTTTTAAAAGTCATTTGTTTAAATGGGGAAAGTCATTTCTTGGTTTCCAAACAAACCTCAAGTCAAAATGTTATGAAGGGTAAAATATTAAACGCTCTACCATTATCAGCCCGGACTCCATACCCTTTAGAGGCCGACGCGAGCAAAAACCCCTTGAGAATAAAATGGCCTCCGCTACTCTGCTCCGCCTCTCGCTTCCGCCTTTCGCCGCCACGGTCTGCCTTCCTCCCCACCAACACCGCCGCCGCCTCTTGCCCCGTCCTCTCACACCCAACTCACCAAATCTCTTCCAAACCCGATCCCCGCCCAAGCCCCAACGCGCCGGATCCCCAATCT